CGGGAGGCTTTGAAAGCAAGGTTCCAGACTGAGCAGGGTAACCGTTGACTGTTATGTTTGTGGACACAGAAGCTGAACCTGCCCCCGTTTCTTTACCCAGTTCATGTTGACTATCCTCTCCAGTTACATACCCCCTTCACCCCCTTCCCAAAAAATAAAATCAGTTCTATTTAGTTAATGAACACCGTTGTCTTTATTACTGTTTTCGCGGGAATGTTTTAAACCGGGGACGCAGACTGTGGTGGGGGGCGAGTTTAGTGTTCTGATGCAAATGATGCTTGTAAACTCCAGGAATGACAGGCTCCGCAGTGGTGGACTGGTTGTTTCAACGGAGCCTGCCAGCACTCCTGGGGGGGACTGCGTGTATGTGTTGGCTATGTGACTTTCTGGCAGGGGGAGGAGGGTTACAGATCCCCTGCTGCGTGGCTCTGTGATCCAGGATAAGGACCGCTGCATAAGATCTGTAACTGCCCTCCCCCGCCACAAAGTCACAGAGCAACCCCCACCCCCCCCACAGAACATGAAAACCACCTCCCAGACTGACCAGGGTAACTAGTGACTGCACTGTGTATGTGTCCTGTTGCTGGACCTGACCCCGCCTCTGTACCCTGCTAAAGGTGACTGTCCTGTCCAATTACCAAGCCCCTTCCCCCCCTTCAGACAGACTCTCCTCCAAAAGAAAATCATGGAAACAGTAATTAACAGTAACGAATATTTTATTATGAACCACACATGAAACGTGGGGGGTGAAACTTGCACGGGGGCTTCTGTGAGGTGGGTAGGAAAGGACTTTTCAAATTTTGGGGAATGAGAGCCTTCTAGTGCTAGAGCAGTCTGCAGGGGTTGACTGAAAGTTTTAACGGCCCTTGCCACCCCTCCTTCTTTGTACTTTGGGTGAGGGGGGTGTGGGACTTGGTGGCGGGGGAGGGCGGTTTGAGATAGACTGCAGCGGGGCTCTGTCCTCCTGCCTCCGGTCTTGCAGAACATCCACAAGGCGCCGGAGCGTGTCCGTTTGCTCCCTCATTAGTCCAAGCAGCTTTTCAGTAGCCTGCTGGTCCTCCTGACGCCACCTCTCCTCCCGTTCCATGACTGCTCGGTGCACTTGTGACAAGTTCTCCCTCCACTGTGTCTGCTGGGCTGCCTGGGCTCGGGAGCAGCCCATTAGTTCTGAGAACATGTCCTCCCGCGTCTTCTTCTTCCTCCGCCTGATCTGCGCTAGCCTCTGGGAGTGTGCTGACAGGCTGGGTTGGGAGACAGTCGCAGATGTGTCTGTGGGAATGGGAAAAAGGGAGTGAATTCCTGAGACAGATAAATGAAGTTGTGTACAAAGAACCTAGTCTTTCTCTGTGAACAAGACCATGCACTGCACCTCTCACATGCGCACTCAGGACAAGGTCGAATTTTCGGCCCTCGCCTTCAGTGCCTGGGGTCTTGCAGTGGTCTTGCAGTTATCTGAGAAGCGGGGCAGGACACCTGAACTTCTGTATCGGGCAATCGTGGTAAGCCGTAGACTTGTGGCTGCTTAAAACTGTAATAGTAGCACTGGCCTCCTTTCACATTGAAAGCAATGCCAGTCTCTGCTGCCAGCAATCAGGACAGCATGAACTCTGCCCCTGTCCCACCCCCTCGCGGCTGTCCCAGAGAAAGATCCCTGTATGCTGCCCCTCTCCCTCCACCGCGTGGCTGTAAAGCAGTCCCAATACTAACATTCCCCTCCCTAATTCAAAGCAGGGCATCATGAGCGACATCACCCTCATGAGGATCTCGGACAGCGAGAAGGAACGCATGCTTAGGGAAAGCATGCAAAAACCAGGGCCGTATGCTGCCATGCTCTGCCGTGCGATGATCCCTGAATACTTGATTGTGTCGTGGCGGGGAAACGTGTCCTACCACGGAGGGCCCAATAAGATCGCCCTACCCAGGAACCTGATGAACAGGCTGGAAATGTACCTCCATGAGACCTACGAGGAGTTCTCCTATGAGGATTTCGCGTCTATCCCCGGCCATATTGACCGGATTTTCGCGTAGGTGCACTGGGACTAAAGAGTGGAGCGTCTTGGGCTGCAGAATCATGAATTACCGGACATTGTAAAAAATTTTTTAAATACTTGGGACTAAATAGTGAAGAGCCTAAGGCAGACAAATCATGAGAAACCCTTTGTTACTATTGTAAATATTCCAGTTTTGTTGCAGATAATTGTTTACATGTTTAAAGCACTTTAGGAAAAACCCATTGTTAATATTATAAATATTCCCGTTCTGTTAAAAATAAATGTTTACATGTTTAGAGCACTTACTGCTTGATCCTTCCCCTGATTCTGTGTCCGGGCTAACGGCTAGGGACGGTTGGTAGGGGATCTCGGTAAGGGTGATGAAGAGCTCCTGGCTGTCGGGGAAATCAGCTGTGCCAGCGCTGTCAACTGCCTCGTCCTCCTCATCTCCTTCTTCATCTTCCCCGTCCGCTAACATGTCCGACGAGGAACCGGCCGCAGACAATATCCCATCCTCAGAGTCCACCGGTCAGTGGTGGGGTAGTGGTGGCGGCTGCACCTAGGATGGAATGCAGTGCCTCGTAGAAACGGGATGTGTGGGGCTGGGATCCGGATCGTCCGTTTGCCTCTTTGGTTTTTTGGTAGCCTTGTCTCAGCTCCTTGATTTTCACGCGGCACTGCGTTGCATCCCGGCTGTATCCTCTCTCTGTCATGGCTTTAGAGATCTTCTCGTAGATCTTAGCATTCCTTCTTTTGGAGCGCAGCTCTGAAAGCACGGACTCATCGCCCCACACAGCGATGAGATCCAAGACTTCCCGATCAGTCCATGCTGGGGCCCTCTTTCTATTCTGGGATTGCATGGTCACCTCTGCTGGAGAGCTCTGCATCGTTGCCAGTGCTGCTGAGCTCGCCACGATGTCCAAACAGGAAATGAAATTCAAACTGCCCAGACAGGAAAAGGAATTCAAATTTTCCCGGGGCTTTTCCTGTGTGGCTGGTCAGAGCATCCGAGCTCCGACTGCTGTCCAGAGCGTCAACAGAGTGGTGCACTGTGGGATAGCTCCCGGAGCTATTAGCGTCGATTTCCATCCACACCTAGCCTAATTCGATATGGCCATTTCGAATTTAGCGCTACTCCTCTCGTTGGGGAGGAGTACAGAAGTCGAATTTAAGAGAGCTCTATGTCGAACTAAATAGCTTCGTGGTGTGGACGGGTGCAGGATTAATTCGATGTAACGGCGCTAAATTCGACATTAAAGCCTAGTGTAGACCAGGCCTAAGGCCTCAATGTTTCTGTCCCCCTAAGTCAACCAGAGCAACTGGCTTGAAATTGAGGCCCTGGATGGGAAAGGCTCCCATTCCCTGACCAATCCCCCCCCAGACCGCAAAAAGTAGTCAATGGGGAATGACCATCAAATGGGGGTTTTTCTAGGGGTTCAACAGGGAGGGGATCTAGGCCCAAAACTATTCAACATTTTCATAAATGATCTGGTAGTAAATATAAAATCACTTCTGATACAGGATGTAGCTGACAGAGAGACCGGCAGAGTGGTAGATAATGAGGACAGGGCAGTCATGCAGAGTGATCTGGATCACTTGTTAAACAGGACCCATTCAAACACAGTGTGTTTTAATGCAGCCCAGTGCAGTTATAAAGCTAGGAACAAGGGATGTAACCCAGACCTACAGAATAGAGGACTCTATCTGGGAAAGCAGTGACTCTGGAAAGTGTTTAGGGGTTATAGCAGACAAGCAACTAACATGAGCTCCCTGTGCAATGTGATCCTTGGGTGTATAAACAGGGAAGTAGCGAGTTGCAGTCGGGAGTTAATTTTACCTCTCAGACTGACACTGGAATACTGCATCTACTTCTGATGTCCACATTTTAAAAGGAATGCTGAAAAATTGGAGAGAGTGCAGAAAAGAGATACAAAAATCACTGGACAGCTGGAGAAAATGCCTTATAATGACAGACTTAAAGAGCTCAATCTGTTTAGCTCATGAAGATTGAGAGGTGACTTGATTATGGTATTTAAGCACCTTCATGGGGAGAAAATACTGGGTCCTAAAGGGCTGATATTTAATGGCCTGTTTAGACAGGTCAGGGTAAATGAGCTAATGGTCCCTTCTGGCCGCAAGCTCTATGAATCAATGAACCTTCTCTTGGACAAGCTGAATCCCATGTCAGCTGTCCCCTCTCAACCGGCAGCCTCAACGCAAGGAAAAGCCAAATGAAAATTCCCATATGACGGTAAAGTGTGACTGAAGCTTCAGCTGGCTAGGCCACTAGACATGGAAAGGCCCAACTGCTCCCTCTGTATTTTCTAAGGAAATTAACATTCTAGGGCCTGGGGTTTGGCTTTAGGAACCAACTGTGGGGGGCGGGGTGGGTAATGGGGGCAGGAAACAGCAGATAAAAGAGAGTCAGTTTCCCATTTAATGATGATACTTAAAAAAAGGCAAATGTTAGCACCTGCAACAGACACAAACAGATCATCAGCAGAGCAGGAAAAATCAGAGCATCAGCAGTCACTAGAATAGCATCAGTGGCATCTATGCAAAATAAAAAATACCTAGATCAGGGATAGGCAACCTATGGCACGTGTGCCGAAGGCGGCACGCAAGCTGATTTTCAATGGCACGCACACTGCCTGGGTCCTGGCCACCGGTCCGGGGGGCTCTGCATTTTAATTTAATTTTAAATTAAGCTTCTTAAACATTTTAAAAACCTTATTTACTTTACATACAACAATAGTTTAGGTATATATTATAGACTTATAGAAAGAGACCTAAAAACGTTAAAATGTATTAATGGCACGCGAAACCTTAAATTAGAGTGAATAAATGAAGACTCAGCACACCACTTCTGAAAGGTTGCCAACCCCTGACCTAGATGAAGGGAGCATTCGGGGTGAGCAGACAAGTCAGGGTTTTGAACAGGTGTTATCCCTGTGCCCTGGCAACTCTCTGCTACCATCCCGCTCTCCCTACAAGCTAGTGCTGAAAAGGGGATATTTTACATACCATCTCATCCTTGAGTGATTCCTGTTCATTGTTCTCACAATGGTCCAGAATCTCAGGCTGGGATTTTCCAAGGCGCCTGAGGCTTTTTTAATAGAATGTGTTCTCTATAAAGCATAATGCATTTAACATACTTGGCAACTACACATGTAGTATATACAACAGAGAAAGGCTCTGCCACAGCTGGGAGAGTCCATGTGCCCAGCCTCCCTGGGAGCAGCCGCTCCAGCTTTGAGCAGCCTCACACATACACCCTGGGCTCTTGGACTCTGCTGGTGCAGCGGTGAGTCCCCTCAACTGACCCACGCTCCAGGGGAGGGGGAGGAACAAACTCTGGAGACTGAGGCCCAGGGCGTCGGAGCCAGGGGAGCAGAACCACGGCAGCACCTAGCTTCCCGTTCTGGGGCAGAGATGTCAATTAATGGGCTGGGTGTGATACGGGGAGCAGGGTAACGAAGGCTGGTGGGTGGGGTGGACTGAGGGGAATATAACCTGCCTCAAAGCAGTTTGCTCCCAGTTGGAGAAAGGGGGAATCCCCAGTCCCTTGGCTCCAGCATCTTATCAGTTCAGCTCCGACGGCAAGACAAACTGGAGTTGGGGTGATGTGTCACAGACTGGCTGAAGGTGCCAGCGCAGAGCCAGCAAAGTTAACTGGGGGGGAGGGGCTATTTACACAGGAAAGCAGGAGTGAGAAACCCCCTTTTCTGAATGCATCAACACAGGGGGATCCGCTGGATGTGTGTTAGAACTGACCAACTGCACGAGAGATGGGGATCAGTGCTGGGGAGAGGAGCCGGGCTCAACAGCCCCTTCATATCCTCACCACAGGTAGCGGAAGTGCAGGCTAAACCCAGACTGAACTCTGATTTCATAGCTCCAGCTGAAGTCTACAGGGTTTCCCTGGGGCTCAGGGGAGTTCAGATCTGCTGGGCTTCTTGAGTGCTTGCCTTCCCTGCTGACACTGTGCAAGGGGACCAGCGAGTGCCAGTTCTGGGGTATCCAATCATGTTGTACACACCAGCCCGGCTGGGAACAGGGCTCCACTGTCCACCTCAACTCATCCATACAGGCCAATGATCATGTAAAATCAAATATATTCTTCTAAGAAGTAGCTCCCAGCTGAAAGATGTGCCCCAAAGAACAGGCTTTTTATCCCACCCCCGCCCTGCACACTTGCTGTACTATGTAATGACAATAACCAAATCTCATGCTTCAGGGCTTCAGACGCTCCCCTGCAGGGGACAGGAATGTTTTTTCCAATGCACCATTGGCCAGATGTATCTGGGTTTCTTTTTCACCTTTCCCTGAAGCATCAGAAATTGGCAACAAGACCCAGGATGAGGTAAGCCAGTGCTCTGAAGTGGTTCAGAGAATTGTCTTTCTAGATGCCTGGCTGGCAGGTTTTGCTCACTTGCCCAGGGTCAGACTGATCACCAGATTTGGGGTTGGGTAAGAATTTCCCCCCAGGTGCAGAGATCTTGGCGTTTTTTGCATTCCTCCACGGCATGGGGTGTGAATCGCCTGCTGGGAATCATCCCAGCATCTCTCATCTAATCAATTCCCAGCCATGGCAGGGGCCCCTTGGTCTCTCCTGTTCTCTACTCTGGCTCACAACAGATTAGCCTCTTAAGTGTTGAAAGGTTTTAGTTTAACTAAAGTAATTAGTCCTGCCATGCGGGCAGGGGACTGGACTCGATGACCTCTCGAGGTCCCGTCCAGTCCTAGAATCTATGAATCTATGAATAATTAGGCTCGATATAGCAGTATTTGAGTGAGATTCATGGCCTGTGATATACAGGAGGTCAGACTAGATGATCTAATTGTCCTCTCCGGCCCTCAACTCTATGAAACTCTGGATGTTCATGGGGTCTAAGTGAGTTAGGCACCCAGATCCTGTTGATTCTGTGGGGCAGGGAAATCTCTCTGTTCTGTGTTTGTACAGTGCCTCGCACTGTGGTTCCTTGTCCATGACTGGGGCTGCTAGGTGCTACCACAATACAAATAATACTAATGGAATTTGGGTAGTTTACTCCCTAATGCTCTAATGAAACCCCTCACAGAGCTCCCTTCGCTCTGGGTGGGATTTCAGACCCAAATTCTTACAGTTGTCAAGACTTAACTCTACGCGGCACTGCAACACCTAACTGATTTAGGAACCTAGGTCTCATGCCCAGAAGTGACGCAAGCACAGTGGACCCTATGTCTTATTGGAAGCTGATGGGGATTGTGCTACTGAATCACGCTGGAGCTTGGGAAAAATCTCCCACTTAATTCCTGGGCCCTCAGCTCCCATTGCCCAGAACCAATGGGATCATTTCAGTATGTCTGGGTGGGGTAGGGCCACAAGGGCAGAAAGGACACGGGGTTTTCCCCGGTGTGGGTTCGCTCATGTCTCTTGTGGTGGGAGCTGCGGCTGAAGCTTTTCCCGCAGTAAGTGCATATGTAGGGTTTCTCTCCTGTGTGGATCCGGTGGTGCTGGGTCAGAGTGGATTTGTCAGTGAAGCTTTTCCCGCAGTCAGAGCACGTGTAGGGTTTCTCTCCTGTGTGGATCCTCTGGTGTCTGATCAGGTTTGAACTGACATTGAATCTTTTTCCGCAATCGGGACACTCGTAGGGTTTCTCTCCTGTGTGGATCCTCATGTGTTTGACCAGGTCGGAGTTCTGGCTGAAGCTTTGCCAGCACTCGGCGCATGTGTTGGGGATCTCAATGGTCGGGGTTTTCTTCTTAGACACTTTAGTTTCTTTCACCTTCCCAATAGTGGCGCTTTCCCAGTGGGTGCATTTGTCCTGCCTCTTCTCTGGAGGGCTCCTCAGATGCCTCTTGTGGTGGGAGCTGCGGCTGAAGCTCTTCCCACAGTCAATGCATTTATAGGGCTTCTCACCCGTGTGGACGCGTTGGTGTTGGGTCAGAGTGGACTTGTCTGTGAAGCTTTTCCCACAGTCAGTGCAGGGATAGGGCTTCTCCTCCGTGTGGGTTCTCTGGTGTCGACTCAGGTTTGAGCTGACGCTGAAGCTCTTCCCGCAGTCAATGCATTTATAGGGTTTCTCCCCCGTGTGGGTTCTCTGATGGTTCATAAGGTCTGAGCTCTGGGTGAAGCTTTTCCCACACTCAATGCAGATGTTGGGCTTCTCCCCTGCGTATGTTCTCTGGCAGATGATGGTGTCTTTGCTCTTCCTCACAGCTCTCCCACGGATAGCTGATTTACCCTCTCTCTGCACAAGAGAGCTCTTCTGTAGCTTGTCCAATTTCCTCTGATTCTTGAGGGACTTTTTCTGGTTCAGTCCCTGTGAAACATTTCCTTTGGATCGCTTGGGAGGCATCTTGTCATGAGTTGCTTTTTTACCAGCACATGTGAACAAAGATGTTTCCTGCTTGCACTCACCTGCTGAGACAAAAAGAGAGTCATTCCTGGGGGGAGGGGGGAAAGGTACCTCAGAGAGGGAAGGGCAAAAGCTGCACCACAATGCAAGTATCTGTTGATAATTCATATTGGAATTCATTCAAGTGCAGATCTGGCCCCTCTCACCCAGACTCAAACCACTGACACATTTGTAACCTGGCTCCACAGGCACAGTCTCTGAAACAAACACTGGAAAAGAATCGAAGGAGCTGCTTTGGATGATCCTCCTGACACTGTCCCCAGCCAGGGCAGCACATTCCCCCAGCAGCACGGGGACTAGGCAGAGGCAGGAACTGGCTCTTCCTCTTCCTGCTCCTCACCTTGTCCCAGGAAAGTCAATCTGCCTCGGGGTGCTGCAGGGAATGGGGCTGGGCAGGGTTGGGAGCCGGGACCTCCCTCCCTACTTACTGCTCCTGCCAGTCTCTCCCCCTGTCTCCCTCCTGCCCTCTCCCCACGGGCTGGGAGACTCGGTCCCTGGCCCGGCCCGGGGCGTTCGCTCTCCCGGAGCTGGCTCGGCTCCTGCAGGCGCTCAGGGGGACAGAGGGGGAGGGGGGGAAGGGGAGGTGTCAGGGAGGGCAGCAGCTCTGGGACTCGCAGACACACACACCTCCGGGAGCAGAGCTGGGGCGAGGAGGGGCCGTTGGTGCAGAGTCACTTTCCTGCCCGGCCCCAGCCCTTTCCCCCGGGTCTCTCCCCTCACCTGCAGGCTCCGGCTCAGGGGCTGGTGTCGGCAGAGCCCGGGGCTGCCCCAGGAGCTAGGGAAGGGCTCTCCCGGCTGGGGAGCAGCAGCGGTTCGGGACAGGGTTTCGGGTCACAGCTAATGGAGGCAGCGCAGCTGCTGACCCGGGAAGCTCCGCCCCAGCCCGCTGAGCGGAGGCACCAAGAGCGCGGAGCAAGCGCCCGGCCCGCCCGAGCAAGCGGCAGAGCCACCTGGCGGCCACCGCTGGGGAAATCGCCCCCGCCTGAAACGCCGCAGGACCGGAGTCAGAGCCAGATCCGTCTGTCTCGTTTTACATGGGCTATGGACCAGAAAACACAGACACACAGGCAGCCCCAGCCAGTAAAGGGGGAGCCGTGTGGGCGCAGGGACTCGGTTCTGCAGCCACCCAAACACGGGTGCACAGTGCTGGGACAGGAGGGTCCATCCCAGTCATCGACTGCCTGTATAACCCAGGCCTGGTCTACACTACGAGTTTAGGTCGAATTTAGCAGCGTTAAATCGAATTAAGCCTGGACATGTCCACACGACGAAGCCCTTTTTTTCGACTTAAAGAGCCCTTTAAACTGGTTTCTTTACTCCACCTCCGACGAGGGGATTAGCGCTGAAATCGGCCTTTCTGGGTCGGATTTGGGGTAGTGTGGACGGAATTCGACGTTATTGGCCTCCGGGAGCTATCCCACAGTGCTTCGTTGTGACTGCTCTGGACAGCACTCTCAACTCAGATGCACTGACCAGGTAGACAGGAAAAGCCCCGCGAACTTTTGAATTTCATTTCCTGTTTGCCCAGCGTGGAGAGCACAGGTGACCACGCAGAGCTCATCAGCACAGGTAACCAATGATGGAGTCCCAGGATCGCAAAAGAGCTCCAGCATGGACCAAATGGGAGGTATGGGATCTGCTCGCCATATGGGGAGACAAATCAGTGCTAGCTGAACTCCGTAGCAGTAAACGAAATGGCAAAATATTAGAAAAAGTCTCAAAGACCATAAAGGACAGAGGCCATAACAGGGACGCACAGCAGTGCCGCATGAAAATTAAGGAGCTAAGGCAAGCCTACCACAAAGCCAGAGAGGCAAATGGAAGGTCCGGGGCAGAGCCGCAGACATGCCGCTTCTATGTGGAGCTGCATGCCATGCTAGGGGGTGCAGCCACCACTACCCCTACCCTGTGCTTTGACTCCATCAATGGAGAATCATGCAACAGGGAAGCGGGTTCGGGGTACGAGGAAGATGAGGATGAAGACAATGAAGATAGCTCACAGCAAGGAAGCGGAGAAACCGGTTTCCCCAACAGCCAGGATATGTTTATCACCCTGGACCTGGAACCAGTAACCCCCGAACTCACCCAAGGCGTGCTCCCAGACCCTGAGGGCGCACAAGGGACCTCTGGTGAGTGTACCTTTGTAAATACTACACATGGTTTAAAAGCAAGCGCGTTTAATGATTAATTTGCCCTGGCAATCGCGGCCAGTACAGCTACTGGAAAAGTCTGTTAATGTGTATGGGGATGGAGCGGAAATCCTCCAGGGACATCTCCAGAAAGCTCTCCTTCATGTACTCCCAAAGCCTTTGCAAAAGGTTTCTGGGGAGGGCTGCCCTATCCCGTCCGCCATGGTAGGACACTTTACCACACAAGGCCAGTAGCACGTAGTCTGGAATCATTGCATAACAAAGCATGGCAGCGTATGGTCCTGGTGTTTGCTGGCATGCAGACAACATCCATTCCTTATCTCTCTTTGTTATCCTCAGGAGAGTGATATCATTTACGGTCACCTGGTTGAAATGGGGTGATTTTATTAAGGGGACATTCAGAGGTGCCTGTTCCTGCTTGGCTGAACAGAAATGTTCCCCGCTGTTAGCCACGCGGTGGGGGGAGGGGTGAAGTGATCATCCCAGAGAATTGGGTGGGGGGGGGAGGTTGGGTTTGTGCTGCATGTTTACCCGGAAACCGCAGCCCCTCCTTTTACATTGCAAACCCATTTTAAATGGCCAACCCAATGGGTGCTTGGTATGGGAAATGGGGGCGCTGCTGTTTGAAACCGTTCCCACATGTTATGAAGGTTAAAAAAGCCAAAAGACTGTGGCTTACCATGGCTGCCTGCAAGCCGAATTCTGTTGCCTGGCACTGCATGAGTGATCTCTCACACCAAACCGTCAGGCTCTCAGTATAAGAGGAAAAATGCGACCTTGTAACGAAAGCACATGTGCTGTGTAATGTGAACAGCAAAATTTAACGTGAAAGAGTGTACCCATTGTTCTCTAAAATGTGTCTTTTTTAACCACCTCTCCCTTCTCCTCCACCAGCTGCAAATGTTTCTCCTTCACAGAGGCTAGTGAAGATTAGAAAGAGAAAATGGAGGACGCGGGATGATATGTTCACGGAACTCCAGATGTCCTCCCACGCTGACAGAGCACAGCAGAATGCGTGGAGGCAGTCAATGTCAGACTACAGAAAAGCACAATATGAACGAGAGGAGAGGTGGCGGGCTGAAGGAGAGCAAGCGGTGGGCTGAAGAGGATAGGTGGCGTCAGCTTGCTGACAGAAGGTAAGAGTCGATGCTCTGGCTGCTGGAGCATCAAACTGATATGCTCCAGTGTATGGTTGAGCTGCAGGAAAGGCAGCAGGAGCAGAGACCGCCGCTACAGCCCCTGTGTAACCAACAGCCCTCCTCCCCAAGTTCCATAGCCTCCTCACCCAGATGCCCAAGAACGCGGTGGGGGGGCCTCTGGCCACCCAGCCACTCCACCCCAGATGATTGCCCAAGCATCAGAAGGCTGGCCTTCAATAAGAGTTAAAGTTTTAAGGTTTTAAACTGCAGTGTGTCCTTGTCCTTCCCTCCTCCCAGGCTACCTTGGCAGTTATCCCCCTAGTTGTGTGATGAATTAATAAAGAATGCATGAATGTGAAGTAACAATGACTTTATTGCCTCTGCAAGTGGTGCTCGAAGGGGGGAGGGGAGGGTGGTTAGCTTACAGGGAAGTAGAGTGAACGAGGGGGGGGAGGGTTCATCAAGGAGAAACAAACAGAAGTTTCACACCGTAGCCTGGCCAGTCACAAAACTGGTTTTCAAAGCTTCTCTGATGCGCACCGCACCCTACTGTACTCTTCTAACAGCCCTGGTGTCTGGCTGCGCGTATCAGTGGCCAAGCGATTTGCCTCAACCTCCCACCCCACCATAAATGTCTCCCCCTTACTCTCACAGATATTGTGGAGCGCACAGCAAGCAGCAATAACAATTGGAATATTGGTTTCGCTGAGGTCTATCCGAGTCAGTAAACTGTGCCAGCGCACTTTTAAACGTCCAAATGCACATTCTACCACCATTCTGCACTTGCTCAGCCTATAGTTGAACAGGTCCTGACTACTGTCCAGGCTGCCTGTGTATGGCTTCATGAGCCATGGCTTTAAGGGGTAGGCTGGGTCCCCAAGGATAACTATAGGCATTTCAACATCCCCAACAGTTATTTTCTGGTCCGGGAAGTAAGTCCCTTGCTGCAGCCGTTTAAACAGAGTAGTGTTCCTGAAGACGCGAGCGTCATGAACCCTTCCTGGCCAGCCCATGTTGATGTTAGTGAAACATCCCTTGTGATCCACCAGGGCTTGCAGCAGCATTGAAAAGTACCCCTTGGGGTTTATGTACTCAGTGCTTGGTGCTCCGGTGACAAGATAGGGATATGGGTTCCATCTATCTCCCCACCACAGTTTGGGAATCCTATTGCAGCAAAGCCATCCACTATGACCTGCATGTTTCCCAGAGTCACTACCCTTGATATCAGCAAGTCTTTGATTGCATTGGCTACTTGGATCACAGCAGCCCCCACAGTAGATTTGCCCACTCCAAATTGATTCCCGACTGACCGGTAGCTGTCTGGCGTTGCAAGCTTCCACAGGGCTATCGCCACTCGCTTCTCAACTGTGAGGGCTGCTCTCATCCTGGTATTCTGCCGCTTCAGGGCAGGGGAAAGCAAGTCACCAAGTTCCATGAAAGTGCCCTTACGCATGCGAAAGTTTCGCAGCCCCAGGGAATCGTCCCACACCTGCAACACGATGCGGTCCCACCTGTCTGTGCTTGTTTCCCGGGCCCAGAATCAGCATTCCACGGCATGAACCTGCCCCATTAACACCATGATTTGCACATCGCTGGGGCCCGTACTTAGTGAGAGGTCTATGTCCATGTCAATTTCTTCATCACTCTCATTGCCGCACTGCAATCGCCTCCTCGCCTGATTTTGCTTTGGCATGTTCTGGCTCTGCATATACTCCAGGACAATGCGCGTGGTGTTCATAGTGCTCATAATTGCCACGGTGATCTGAGCGGGCTCCATGATCCCAGTGCTATGGCGTCTGGGCTGAAAAAAGGCGTGAAACTATTGTCTGATGGAGGGAGGGAGGAGCGAGTGACGACATGGCTTACAGGGAATTAAAATCAACAAAGGTGGCTGTGCATCAGGGAGAAACACAAACAACTGTCACACAGAATGCCCCCCACCAAGGATTGAACTCAAAACCCTGGGTTTAGCAGGCCGTTGATTGCATGGAGGGAGGGGGAAGCAAATGAATACAGAACAAATCTGGTCCATCTATCTTTTACATCTTAGGCTGACAGCAGACGGTGCAGCATGACTGATAGCCATGGGCATCTTCTGGGTGCTTGGCAGAAAATGCTGCATTACAACTGGAAGCCATCATCGTCAAGACGGTTCAATAGGACTGCCAGCAGGACTGAGTCTCCAGGAGACAAAACATGTCTGCCCAGGTGCCTCTGACCGAACTCACTGAGGAATACGACAATGATGGATACCAATCATAATACACCATCTACTGCCAAAAGGCAAGGAGCTGCTGCTGTATAGCAATGCAGCCCCATGTCTGCCAGCACCCAGATAGCTGATGACGGCTACCAGTCATACTGCACCATCTACTGCCAAAAGGCAATTAGCTGCTGCTGTGTAGCAATGCAGTACCACGTCTGCCGGCACCCAGATGACATATGGTGACGGTGAGCTGAGCTGAGCGGGCTCCATGCTTGCCGTGGTATGTTGTCTGCACAGGTAACCCAGGTAAAAAGGCACAAATCGATTGTCTGCCATTGCTCTGATGGAGGGGGAGGGGCCTGACGAC